CCAAGTAATATTATATTATTTCTATCCTAGGACGATCAATCAAATTTTTTCTTAATATTTTAGTCTCCGGACTTGTTGCAATTACATCCTATATAGGAGGTATATAAATTTAGATATAAGCGGCGCATAGCAATATTAAAAACAATATTTTTTTGCAGATAAACCATATCTTCTATTGTTAAATGGTATATCAACATATTATCAGTTATTATACACCATTTTTAAGCTTGTTCTATTCTTCCTCTAAGGATTTTTTAGATCTAGTTTCGCCACTGATATTAGTTATAGTATATTTATTTATTTCAGTGGCGTGAATACAACCACATTAATATGAAGAAAGAGATATGAGGAAGATAGAAAGAAAAGGGAATAAATTTATTTTTGCTAATTTAAAATATTGTAAATAGCGTAAATTGACTTTATCTATGGGAGAAACATTATGTATTTTGGGCATGAATATCGAAAACTTTATTTTGCTTTAAATGTTTTAGCGTGGTTTTTACTGTGTCATATTAGACTTAGCCGAAATATTATTGTCATGTTACATCCATACCATTTTTATTATTTTTAAACACAATTTAATCATGTTATAATAATCTTGTATTTTATATTTCCACATTATAAAATTTGTTTTAGGGTGGCTACTTTACTAATTTTAGAAATCATATTATAATTTAATTTTTATAGATTGAAGATAACTTATTATAACTTACACATAATATTGTATTTAATTAAGGTACCAATATAATTTAGGAGGAAAAATAATTATCCCATAATAAATTTTACTTTATAGATTATTTAAACTTGGGGTGATTAAAATATCCTCATTTAAATAAATGGGAAAACTTTTACTTTATATTGATTATTATTAGGATTATTTATAATCTATGTCAGCATTTTTGAAAACTATTATTTTTGGATTAATCCTGGGGTCGGTATGTCTAATTTATCTCATGTTAATACAAATGAATTTGGTTTTAATAAAAAATTGCATTTATTATTTACAGTTTATTGTTTGTCATATCAATGGTAAAACTAGAGAGAAATAATTGAGCGTCTCCAATAAATATATAAAATTATTAGAATTATATTTTTCGTTAGTCAATTTAAATATAATGATAAGTGGAATTAATAGTATGAGTCAATGAGTGTATAAAGAAATTCAAATAAATTGACATATATGTTGCGATATTTTTTCTTAACAAGGTATTTCGAAATTGAGAGTTTAATACGCTAAGTTGACTAATAATACTTAGGCAGTGTAATGGTTCTTCTTAAAAATTTATTTCTGTTTAGTCCAGGCTAAACAGATTTTAAATTATTTCTGTTTTTTTTTAAGTTTATACATTAAAATATTATTTGTTAATATATATTTTTTTTCTGCGCAACAAAGATGCATGGTCCTTTAGTTTATTTAAAATGCTCTTAGAGTGCTAAACAGATTATTTCGAAATAAGATAAACCAGAACACGGCCTTACAAGTGTTTTTCAGATTATTAATATATGAGAACTAATCTAACTATTTTCCTGATCGTGCATCTTAAGAAATGGGAAGATAAGATTAAATATATAAGTTAGTGAGAGAATAAAAAATACATAACCAGGGATTAAAAGCTAAGTATCAAAAAGAGTGGTAACTAAGAATGGAAGAATAAAATAATAAAAACCGTTATGAACTTGGTTATAAAATTTTATCTTATTGTTTTCTTTATATTTGACTTATTTTACTACAGCAGCACTCTATTGTTACTATTTAATAGATTTTAATGTTTTAAAGATCTTTTCGTGCCTTAGTTATGTTTTTTAATTAAAGCACATAATATTCATCTTTTTAAATCTTTAAAATGAGATAATTAAGAAATCCTATGTGATTAATTAAAAAGATATTATTTTGCATAAATATTATCACTCTTTGTAAACAAAGCAAGTCATCAAACAAAAGATGGTAAATCTGAAATAGTAATCCACGAATTAATGTTTTATCAAATTTTTTAAAATCTTTTAAATTCTCTATAATTCTACAAAAAATGACTTCTTATTTTAAAAAAGTAGTTTATAATTTCGACACTCATATCCTAAATTTTACAGGGAAACTAAGTTTAATGAGATAATAATAACAATAATTCGTAATAAATGTAGTAGCTTTAGTCGTCATCATTAATAATCATTTAAAAATTTTTATTAGGTTTTTAATATTTTCATGTTTGAGTTTAAATTAGCTTTTTTTTTCCTAACTATGTTTTACAATTCCTATATATATGTTTGAAAATTCTTAAAAGAAATAAATATCTAAGTCTCAATTGGATTGAAATGCATTTCTTATAAAAATATAGCATGTTAAAACTTGTCATGTTTCATAACTTATTTATAAAAAAAATATTAAATTAAAATATTTATCAGATTATAGTTGTTTAATGATTAAATATATACAATTATATGTTTCATTGTGATTTTACAATAATATTACGTTCTGACAATCTTTTGAAGAAGAATATGGAATAATTATAATCTATTCAAATTAATTGCTATTAGTTATAATAGTTAACTATAATTTTGAATTACTAAATATAAAATTTATCTAAATTAAATTATTTATAATTTAAAATAAGATTATTATAAATTTAAATGATGTAATAACCATACCCTGTTCCTGCTGTTAACATCCTATTCTATAAGAAGCAAAATACCTTTAATGAAAATCTAAATAAGTAACTTTTTCCTATTTATATGTAAGGATGTGCTGGATCATACTCTACGATTGAATTCTTATTTCAAATTTATATATCGTTGGTTTAATATTATAATGTTCTATATCCATTTTTTTAAATCAGAAAAGCATTTTAAAAAATATTTCTTATATTTTTAATAGCGAATCACAATGTAATAATGCAAACAATTTGAAATTATATTTAAAAATTTTTATTGCTATGAAGAATTCATTTATTAAAAAAAATTTATTTTTGAGTAAAATGGATATAGAACACAATAATACTAAGTCGACGATATGAATAAATTCTATATATATTTTTTAAATATTGAAGATAAATATTAAGACAATAGATGTTAACTATTTACTTATGTATTTGTGACAATTTATGTTAAAACTATATTTGTAAGGATTTATATTAAAACTTTATTTCACATGTTGAAATCACAAAATTACAATCAAAATAAAAATGTGTATTTTTATATAAAAAAAAGAAAAGTATATATAGTTTTAAAGTAATTGAAAACATTTGCATAATAACATTAAAATAAGAAAAATTTAAACATGAAAATTAAATTTAATCGCCTGTAACTATTTACACATCTTAACATCTCTCTCTCTCTGAGTAATTCTTTGCTATTCCAGTTTCTCTTGTTTCTGTCTTATTTATTATCATCATCTCAACGTCTCATCATACGCCTTTTTGTTCATCTCTTTATTCGTTTTTTTGTTTATTATCATTATCAAATGAATTATAGTAGAATAATTACAATAAGAATCAAATCGAATGGTCCATAGAATGATAATTGATTTTTTATTTTTTAATGTGAATTTTTATTATTGTTATTTTTATAGCATTTTTTTTTTATTATTATTTTTTATTTCTATTTTTTAATGTTTATTAAATCGCGTGTTGTTTATAATTTGTTTTTCCAGATAATTTTTGTATTCCTTGACATTCATTACATAGTCTTTGAAATGGCTCGGTAAACGTTTTGCTCTTACAGGTCTTTCCTCTTTCCCCTCCAAAATTTCTTATCGGTTCGTTCACCTTTACTGTCTGGCATGATCTTTTTTTTATTTGATCTTTATATCTTCTTATTATTTTGCAACCAGTGTCTATTCTGTATAATAATTCACTCTCTTTTTCAATGACAATGCCTTTCTCCCATTTGTTTTCGGTCTAACCCATTTACACCAAAGATGAGTTGTCTTTAGATAATAAAAATATTACTGCGCCCAACACAAACTCGAAAACTTAAATTATATTCAACATTATGGTCAAAAGATATTTGTATTACCTTTTATTTGATAAACATATTATTAGTATGTGTTAATAAAAAATATTAGCCCCCTACCTCTAAGACCAAGAAATAAATATATTGTAATATTTAACATTAGAATTTAGTTAATTTTCTTCCCAAATTACATGACAGACTAAATAAATTCTAATTAGATGTAATAACAATATAAAAATTTTTATAATATATTATATATTAAATCCTTATCACCAACTCCACATTCTCAAAATATAAATCTATTTGGACAAATGATTTAGAAAAAGATGCAGTTAAAATATTTATTATCCATTTACGTTTTAAATTTGGTTGCAGTTTACCCATAATTCTCTCTAATCCTAATCATTTCCCAAATATTATGTCCTGTGAGGTGATAACGAGTTTCTCTATAAAACAGAGTGAGAGCGAGATTGCAGCTCAGCGAACGGGGGGGGGGGGGGTTATTTATATATTTTATATTAATTTTAGTTTCATTTAATCTCATTTAAAGAATAACTATTCTTTTCGTTTTTCCAGGCATATTTACAGAAAATTATTCTGATTTTAATATTTTTGCCTTCGTATCTCTAACACTTTGACTATCTAAATATAATTTTATTAATTCATAAATCTTGTATAACTTCAGTAATTATCAGTTAATATTTCTATAATATTTCTTTGATATTATAAAAACTTGATTGACCAGGAGTGAATTTCTTAAATAGATTTTATGTTAAAAGAATTCAAATTATGCAATTTTTTACGGCTGGACTAAAAATAATTAATAAAATTCTAACCAGTCGGTTTGATATGGGTGGTTTTTATCTCTACAAGAAGTTCCCACATATTGCCTTTTTTAATAAGCATTATTGTTACTTGGTAAATATACAAAAAAATTTATTGATAAATTAATCAATTTAAATTTGTATTGGCATATGATTAATAATAAATGCTAACCCAGAATCAATTTAAAAAAAAGTTTTTCTCTAATTGACATATATAATTAAAATGAATCCCAAGAACAATTAATATTAATCCCAAAAACAATTAAATGCCCAAGAAAAATTATTATAAATAAAATGGTTTTAATTGGTTAGTTATTCTTCCATCTATAACATATTGGTTCCTTTTATTAGACACATATGAAAATTATAATATAGATTATGAATTCAAATTATGAAAAATTTATTAATTAAGCTAAATTAATACATATTTATAAAATTAATATAATGGTAACTGGCGTCACCTAAACACAGAGATGGGTTTTGAAACTGGGGCTTATTGGGTCGCTTTTGCCCAGCCTTTGACCGATTCACCTCTAAAAGCTTTTTATTCATTATTATAATTAATTTTTATAATATCTTTTTTGAAAAACTTGACGAATAACTATTTTAATAGAGAAAAAGGCTAGTAAAAGTATATGATATCAAATTTTATATAATAATTGCACATATATAAACAAAATCATACATATTTCACGTGTAAAATTTTAAATATTTTATAAAAAAAATAAAGCACATTGCAAATATATTCGACTTGAATATAGCAAAGATATAATATAATTGCTCATATAAAGTTATACTTAAGACAATTTTCATGTACTATCTTATACTTTCTAAAAATACTAGGAACCATAATATTTAGAATGTTATGTTTCAACGAAAGTAGATGGAATAGGAATACGAATACCTTCCCTACTCTCCGTCAGTGCCTTCATATCTTCGTGTTTATCATGTGATCCAATTATCAGCAAATTAATAACTCACCCAAATCCTCTACTTTTTCAGGCCATATATTTTTGGAAGTCCTCTATCCTAGTCGATCCTCCTTCAACGTCCTTGAAGATAGATTGGGATTTGCAATTGGTTGGCAACTCCGTCGTATTTGTTAAATTGAAAAGTCAACCTGTAAAACATTCCTTTCTTTTTTCATCGTCATCGGGAAAGGTTATGAATTTCTTTAAAACATCCCTTCAAGTAATCTTGATTTACTACTTACAAACGATGTTCTATGCATTCCAGGACTCATACCAAATTGTTGGTTTACTCATGTTCACTTTATCAAAACTGTGACTTGATAGGTAGCCACTCTATACATTTAAACGATATAGAGGTAGATTTTTAAAACATATAAAATGTAATGAATACAATGTTAATATATTCAATCACAAAATAGATTGGTATACTTTATTCGGCATTAATAATCTCTAACTATTCTAAAGGTGATTATTATATATTATAGAATATATCCTGATGAGATTTAGTGTTATCCGAGACTTTTAATTCAATTTGACTTATTTCCTTTTTAGAAATTGTTAATGCAGGATTTTATTTGTATAAAACAAGCGATTATAATAATTGTCATAATTCACGAGTTTTTTTTGGAACACCTTTATTTTTAATAAGCTGAAATTTAGTAGGGCAAAAGGTATATAACCGGTCAGGCCTTTATTTTCAAAAATTCTCTCAAACGAACTATTATATATTTGGGTATGTTGAAACACCTTAAACAATCAATAGTTTCTAGGTCTTTCTTTCATCTCTACCTACATCTGATTTAATTTTGCCACTATATGTCATGGCATTTCACATTCCATTACAATATTTTGTAGTATTTATTTAGTGAATCGTTTATTTAATGAAGAGTTCATCTAATTTTAATACCATATTCTTTTGCATTAATTTTATATAAATCAAAACTAGCGATAGATAATTAGGAAATTACAATAATGCTTTATATTCTGTTAATAATTTAAAAAATTATAAAGTGGTTTTATTTAAATGATGGTGAATCTATGATGTAAGAAACATATAGGTAACAGATAAACTTCTTTTTATACTAATGTGATGACTGTTTATAGAGCCCACCATCTTATTTCACCTCTTTTTTAAGCTATATTTTATTTTCCATGTTTTAGAATTGTTACGTCTCTCTCAGGCCTTCATACATGTTAGGATTCTCTATAAAATATTACATGTCTATTAAGAAGTCTAAATAAATTTTTATATTTATAAATTAAAGATATTAGAGCATGTTATACATAAACTGTCATGAATTATTATTTAAAATTTTAAAATCTTCTAAATTAACTCGAGATGATGTCTTAAATCTCTAAAGTTAGTTACTTTCATTAATGCAAAAGGATGATGACTTTTATCCTAAATAATGGTCAGAAAACTATGTGTAAGAAAAACTATCAAACAAAAATTATCAGAAAAAAAAATGAAATGCTCAATTTAAATTTAGGAAAATAATAAAAATATAATAAACAAATAAAATTCTAAAGTTATAATGAATGTAATAGTTCCATCATAATATTAGTCTATATCTAATATCATTCAAACAAATATATAGATTTGCTTCTGCTCAATTTCTATCAACGTTTTTCGGTTAAAAGCTAAATAAACTCAGTATATCTTCTTTAATCACATTTATGTAGATATCATTTCTACATTTACCTCTAAATTTTAGCCTCGTTATGTTTTACCAACTATCTTATCTATCTTTTCAAGATTTCCAAACCAGCATAACATATATTCTTTTTATTTAACAAAAGGTATTCATTGGTTTCCCGATTATGTTCATTTATCTGGGGATTTTCATTTTTATAACTCAAAACCTTATCTTTGCTTTTCTAGTATAACATTCGATCCTATATAATAATTTCTACCTAATCACAAATGAGTAATTTAGATTAAAAAAGAGAAAGACAATGGGACAAACATGAAAATATCAATCTACCTTTTCTTATCAAAATACTCAATAAAATATTATTAGTAATTTTCATTATAATTAATCAATATAATAGGATTAGGGTATCGACTATAATTCTATTCAAGATAAGCAGTAAAAATCACATATATAAAAAAATATTTAGAGAAGTCGAATGTATTTTAAAAGAAATATATTTAATTTATTAATATACCATTTAACAGCAGAAGGTATGGTTTAACTGCAAAAATAATATTTTTTTAAAAGAAATGATACTATTGGCAGCTTTAATATTTAATTTATATATATACCTCCCATAAAAGATATAATTCCAACTAGTCCAGAGACTGAAATATTATGAATTTTAATGATCGTTCTAGGATATAAATAATTTTATATATACCTGATTCCTGGTATGTTTTATTTCCTAAAATAATATAAATTTTTGAATGTTCCCATTATTAGAATTTATAATTAGTTAAAACTTTGCATGGTAATTGAATTCTAGTAAAATTGCAATAAATGGACACGTGACAATTATAATTAATATGGTATAGTGTACATTGCGCTCTGGTTCTATAATTTAATTTTTAAAATTAAAAACAAATCATCTCCACACTCATGCAACTTCAAGCACATGACCCTTTCCTTTTACATATTGTGTAAACCAACTTTAAACAAAACATTAAATAGAAGGATTTTATAAATTGATAATAATCTTTTAATAAAAATTTTAAAAAAATTTGTTTGTAACTTTAAAATTAGATTTATGAAACCAACGTTTAATATATAGTCAAACCTCCTCTTTGAAAATTTGCCTATTCTCATAAATATCATTTTCAGCTAATCAAAAAAAAATTGTAACTCCCACCCCTCAGAAAAAAAATTTCTCTTGAAAATGTATATTACAATAAATAAAAATTTTAAAGAAAAATTAGTAAAGGTTAATTATTTTTTAAAATAACGACTATAATTCAAAATATTTTGAAATAAAGTGAAAACCCAAGATTATTTATATAAAATTAATATGTAGCCAATGACCTACAATAACCAAAAAATCTCTAATAAAATTTAATGGGAAAAATTTTTCCTAATTCTTCCTAATACTATTTTTCCCTATCTTAGCAAAATCATGGATGGCCTATATAATGTTGTATAACACTTAAAGAAGTGTAATGTTAATAAATAAATCACATGTCCCTTTATCTTACACACTGCTGCCAAAAATATTAAATTATCTACAATTAAAATTTTGATAATTATTAAAATTTATATAAAAACTTATATATCCAAAAAGGAATATACCTATGGATATGGTTAGGGTACCGTCTTCGCCTTCTATATATAAATGGCAATTATTCATTTTGAATTATGCCGAATCGCAATAAATTGATTTTTTAAAAAAATGTATGAAATCAGATTTTATAAGAGAAATAATACTTATTGCTTTTAGTATCGCAGCTTTATTTTATCGTTACCGATTTTATAAAAAAAATGCATATATTTTATATTTTAAAATATTAATATGATGCTAATAAAATTTTTCAACTTTAAATTATATCATACTAAAAAGTGCTATTGTAAATTAATAAGGACCAAAACAAAATAAAAATATATCACGTTTCATTCAATATATTTAATTCGATTTATGGAGAACTAAGCTCAATATTAGCTAATTAAATCCTTTTTTTTCCGGTAGTTTAATTAAATAAATATTTAACATTGAAAACAAATACCTATAAATATTATTATTATTATTAAATATAATCTAGAAGAAATTATAATTTATACATCAAATTTTGTGAAATTGTCAGATCAAAAATACAAAAAAAGATGTCAATATTCTAGAATTACCACATTTTTATATTATGCCCTGTTAACAATGTATTCTAATTAATATTTATACCCTCCCGTTTCTCAGATTAATATAATTTTTATTTTATTAACTAAAATATACCTAAATTATGTACGTGTCCTGTAGTTTCTGTTAGAGACGATGCTAGATATAAAAATTAAGATTAGCTTTATGATAGTACAAATTATACGAAAATCTAATATAATATTGATTTTATTCAAATAATGCTTCAAATTTTTAAAATGAGATAAATTTACTACAATTTGCCTAATAACAATTATCACAGAAAAAAATATTTTAGATTAATAGTGGAAAACGATAAAATCTTATTTTTTATAAGGTTCAGAACCCCAAAAAAAGGTTTCGTAAAAATAAATGCATAAAATAAAACTAAATAATTATTTTGAAGATAATATTTTACCATTGTAATTCCCATCTTTTTATATTAAAATATACTATATTTATTTAATTTTTGAAAGTTTTTGTACTTAGGTTAAGAGTAATGTTTTCATTTCCCAATTCTAATATATTTGATTACATAATTTGATTTATAAAATATAATCTTTTATAAATTTACTTATTCCAATCCAAACATTTGAAGCTTAAAATAGGTAGCGAATTAAGTGATATTCTCATTATAAGTATAAAAATAATATTCTACTAACATCCAATGAAAAGGTCAGTATTATTCAAGTAATCTATAAATAATATAATTTTTTATATGCATTCTTGTAAAAGATATACCGTTTAAAATCCAATCCATATATTCTATAAATCATATATAGAAAATTAAATATGAAGTTAATATTAATTAATACATGATATTGTTAAATCTATAAAACCCAATTTTTTTTAAAAATAATATTTTACAAGTTTAAAATGACATAGGAGGAAAAATGTTATATGTAGATGTAATTAATTACTAAAATTTGTTGTTGTTTGTATTAAATCGCCATCTATAAATGAATATAATATCGGTTACAATAAAATTTCATGTTTTTATTCAATAAATACCTTCTTCTTCACACATAATATAATCTATACAAAATAATTATTTTAATTAATTTTTTTTACTACATTGAACAATTTTAAATAAAGGTGACTTACGTGGCCTTTGTCTGCAAATCATCACGTTTCGCACTAGATATGAGTGTTTTATAATATGATAATAATATTAAACGCTGTTATATTAATTATATCAATAATTTTTTGAGAATATTGAATTTTAAAAAATGGAATTCTATGAGAAAATAATGTTGCATCAAGATATTAATGGAAGAGTTAACGTAAATGTTTAAATTTTATACTCAATGGATTTTAACAAATTTTATATTTTAATTATTAATGATGTTACCTAAATTAGAAATTACGTGGTTAACTTAAATATACTTATGTTTATAAGGTAGATTCATAGGTTAAAATTAATATTATAAGGGTAATATTTTAAGATAAACTCGATTGTTGTTTGTGAGTCAACTAGAGGTCTATCATCTATTGTACATAAGGTAAATATTGTGAATATATCGAAGCACTTATAGTTTATTGCTATTTTCTTTTTGCTAAGGCTTCGTATTTAATAAGATCAGTCAGCTAGTAAATCTGAGTATAAAAGGGGAACTTGGTTATCATAAATCAATGCTACAAAAAATATTGGTGGCTAACTCTAATCTAAAATCTCTATTAACCCCTCCCCCTCCTCTAAGCTATATTTCTTCGCGGAGGCAGGATGATATTTTTGATATTAATTTCTAAGTTGTTACATATATTGCTTTAAATATCAAGCCCATAGCTACATTAAATGATTGGTAAGATTGTTATGAGGAATATTTGTTTGTCTTATTGTATAATTATATTTGGAGTTATTCATAAAATAAAAATAAATTTCTATGTTTGGCAAGAAATTTTAATTTAAATGCCTATGATTCTGTGCAAAGAAAGTTTGACAATGATGAGATCTATATTCCAATTAAAAACATTTTACACTTATATATATTCTTCAATATCCAATAATGTAATTGGTAACTCCACAATAAATTTACCCTACCCCATTTGTACCCCACCCACAAATAAATGGGAAGAAAATTGCTTATACTACACCTCCCCCCTTCCACCCATTCATGTAGATGCGGGGTAACTCTTACATTTAAATTTGCAATATGTTTCTTCCTAACCCTATATACTATGCATAGTTGTAGGGAAAAATATATCACTAGGAAAAAATTGTTGGATTCAAATTTTATATAAGTTATTATGTGTTTAAACGAATATAGATTGTAAAGATTCAGATTAACAGATTATTCTATGGATGAGAACAGATGATTATTGGAATCATATTAAATGAGGATATACTTATTAAGTAAATATTTTTGAAGTGTGAACAAAGTTTCGATCCATTTCTAATTTGAAGTAGTTTTTTAAGAATAAAGGAATGTTATTTCTGCCATCTCATTGAGTTTAAAAAGGCTGGCTCTCAATTTATTGATCAAATAATTATTTCTTTTAGATGACTATTCGAAAAAAAGATTAAACTATTAATTCACATTTCCGAATAAAATTTAATTTTTTAATATAAATATTTAGATCTTTCTACTATTAGTTTAGGAAGATAAATATTTTAAAAATTAATTAAGTAATCCATCTGAGATTTCTAGTTATAGTATATGTTAATATGCCTTCATTTAATATTCCAAAGACAGATTGTTATTTTTTTTAAATACACTCTCAAGTCATTTTTATATAAAAATACGCAAAAAAATTTAATACGTTTTTTAAGTTTACCTTTAGCGTTATTAAATTCTTATTAATTTTTGCCAATTCTATTTCGTAAAGGAAGTTAAAGGAACATTTTCTTTAATTCATCAATAAATAACTCATTTTGCTTTAGAATAAACAAAAATAATTTCACATATACAATAAAAAACTTAAGATATAATTAAAATTACTTTGCATATTTTCTAAATAATGAGCAAAAAGTTTACATTGAACACGTTTTTCCACAAATAATTTTATTTTAATATTTTTTAAATCTAAGCTTAATACATTTATCTATTTAAAAATAGAACTTCTTCTAAACAAAATATATTTTCAAAAAAAATAGTTTTACATGTAAAATAATACCGGGGTTATAATGAGCCTCAACATTACATTTTTAATAAAAAAATTTCCAGGGAAATCTGCTGACGAAGGTAAAATCCTTCATTGGGATCCCCTGAGATCTGCCTCATTTTTTTTCTATGGTTTTAATGAAATTAAGAGCATCACTTCCGAACATGCCTAGGGTATTGGTAACGATTAGAACAAACATGGTGTTGGTGAGCCAAGCATATTTGTTTTTTTAGGATTTCGACCTTTTCGATGGCAGAAAATGAGAAATTGGAATTGGCGGCATAGATTTAATTTAAAAAATAATATATTCGGAATTTATTTTGAAACGAATGAACCAAACTAAGTGAAGGTTAAGCCTAAAGACTCTTCTCTTCAATTGGCATATTATTTTTTCAAGTTGTATATAAATCATATGCTATTTGTTTTATTTGTTTTAACATTTTTTGTTTAATTAACAAAAAAAAATCATAGAATTATTTTTTTATATATGAAGTTATAAAACTTATATTTCATACATTTTCTATTTGAAAAATTCTAAAGTGTAATTATGAGTAATCATAAAATGATTTAAATTTTTTTTTATAGATTGTTCAATTCTAAATAAAAAATTATATACATTTTTGGTATAAAAAAAATTAATTATTAGAATATAATAGAAGAAAAAGGAAATGCTCGTTATAACCCCATGCATGCTATAACTTGTATATATACCCAAATAAAATTAAGTAAATTTAAAAATACTTTAATTGCAATCATATTAAAAATATTATTATTTTTATATATAATTATTTTTGACATAAATAAATTATGCGTTATTATGTATGATACCATTATGCTGTAGAAAATATGGCTTAGCTATGAAAATAATAAAGAAAAATTGAAATTATGTTATTTGGTGATAATATATATATTCTTTTTATAAATCTTAGTACCTTTTAAATCGGATAAAATTGTAGTAGTCCCGGACACTAAATTAATCTTGAATTGAAGAACCCATTATAAAAATCATAATATATATACCTGATTCATATAACGTTTTATTTCCTGGAAGAAAAGAATATTTGATGATAAAATTAGTGTAAGAATATTATTTAATTTTTAAATGAGGAAAAAATATACTGGTACAAATATTAAAATGATAGCCCTAAGATTTTTAAAATTATAACATTTTACTACCCTTTCCCTGGCCTGAAAGTCTCTTATCAAAATATATACGGTTTAACCTGCCTAATATGAACACCATTGGGATTAAGATTTTTGGCCAACTAGTCAGTTGCTCTTATCAAGACTTTTTATTATTATTTTTTTAAAATAACATTTTACCATCTGTTATATTCTTAATTTATAAAAAATGGAAATTATATTCAAAGATTTTCATATTTTTTATTTATTCATATAGAGTAGTAAAATTATTATATACCCTAAACTTGTACAAAATAAGAATGTATAAAATTATTATAAATGGTTGCATAAAAAATAATAAAAAATATTAAATTAATTTATGAACTTTGATATAATATGTTTTATTTATTGGCGTTATACCTTCTTTGGTATCCAAGTTTTCAAGTGTGTATCAAAATTTAGCAACTGAGGATAAAAAGGCCGAAATGCTTAAGGATATGGGAAAATGGATACCTATACCACCTAGCTTTGGTGGAAGGGCAATTTGCATCCAGGATAGTGATGAAAATTTGATATTTAAAATAGTTTCGAGAGTATTTTTTTAAATGAACTTCAAGGTCTAATAATATTTCAGGAACATGAAAATGATGAACGAAAGGGATGTAAAATTTTAGGAATGAATAAAAAATATTTAAGTAAATGAAAAGCTTGATGGTAAATGTTTTAAAATATTTTTCATTCTAATGAAATTGGCAAGTAATTTATCTCTGAAATGAAATATAGCACTTTCACCTCCAATGTGAACATAGGGTGGTAAAGCTTGTTTTGCAATAAATTTTTAGATGGGGAGTCCGATTCAAGGGGGGGGGGGGAATAAAATTCACACTTATTAGGATTTAGTGATATTCTCGTTATGGGGGCTAAGCAATTTATAATTGTAGGAATTTTTATGATTTCATTATATATGTCCGCTAGTGTGCCATCATCGAGGTATCAAAAATTTAATTTAAGGTCACAATTTGAAGAGATTTTTTTATGATTAATTGAATGCCCTGACAGAATAATGCAGGGCCTAAAGGATCTCCTTGTTGGATGCTTTGCTTGGAGAGAATGATTGAATCATTAAATTTTTAAAAAGTGATACTGGGAATATTTCACAGAAAGAAGGTAGGAAATGTTCCCTTCTAAGTGAATTGTAGGCATTTTGTAGAATTTGAGGATGCATTGATCATGTGTATTATGGAGAATGTCCCCGACGAGTGTGATGCGGTCTCACATCCTAAAGGAACTATAAAATTAAGCTGATTAGCTTGTATTAGGTAAGATTTTATATGGGAGAAAATTATTTTAAAAATTATTCGCCGGAATACTGACCCTATTGCAATAGGTCCGATGTTTCCATTTGTTTTGTTTATTAAGCGGGCTCAAAAAATGATGGGCTGAATGGAGTTAGGAATATTATATTAAAATTTAACAGTTATTATTTATCATTATATTATAATTTGACAATTCAATAAAATAAATTTATCTCATCTCAAATTTTAATTTACAATAGAATTCTAAATTAAGAATTATGCACACCTTACATAATTATAATAAAATCTTGCGGAAATTATATCTTACATATGTAAAATAAAAATACATCTCGATATAGTTACATTTTAGACGATGCAATATATCTAGATCCATTTTATAGACGATATATTTGTATCCATATCTAGAAAAGTATCTTTTAACAATTCTAATAGGAATTAAATTGATAAAATAATTGTTTATAAAATAATAAATTATGACTTAAACATG